CACTTAAATTCGAAAGGCCCCCTAAACAATAATTTTTTTTTTGATAAATTAAAGGCTTAAACTTTTTAAAAACTATAAATTGACCCATGCCATTATATTTCATCCAATTTGCATTTAACATGTCATCATGTCAACAATATGCACCAATAAAAATACACCATGTGGAAATTAATGAAAGAAATTAAACTACATGCATATTTAAAAAGAAGAATAAAAACAAAAAGAGACCGTTAATACCACAGTTGGAAAAAAAATAACAAAGATGAAGGCGTGCAGGGATCCGAACCCATGCAGAAATGAAAAAATAAAAACGCTTGATAACTCTGCTAAGCATAACTTTGCTTAATACTCCCGCGTTTTATTAATGTACTACTTTCATAATGTGCGATCGTACGCTTCATAATGCGCAACAAAAGGCAGCAATTAAAGGTTTGTTTGGTAATTTTATGGATCTAATTTTTTGTTTTTGAAAACTGATGAATTAGCTAAATTATTTAATATAATTAATACTCATTAATTTTAAAAATAAAAAATGAGATCCAAATAAGATAACAAACAACCCCTAGCCGGCAATTAGTGGAGACGAGAAGGATTAATGTGAATGGACAACAGCGACTGGGAGACCGCCGACTTACCAACCAACCAACCAAACCAACTAATTAACTAACACACTTTTCTCCTCTGGAGGTGACACACTATACACTAGACACAAGTCACACGACACAAAACCAAGACGTATAAGTATATTGTTGGCTCCTGCCTCTGCCTCTTGCTAGCTTCATCATGACAATCTCAAAATTAAGTTTGAATCATTTCATTTGGTTAGTTAATTGGAAAATTAATAGATGAAGATAGAGACGACAATTTGACCCGTCAAATCCAATCTCTGCAAGTAATAGATTCGAACAACTCGTTTTCGAGAATTAAACTTTGGGTATTTTACGGTTATGGATAACACTTTCCAGATTCGATTATGGTTATTGGGGTGTCCATCCGGAACCCATACCCAAAACTAAACTGTTTTCATTTTCTAATAAAAAACACAAATATTAGTATATGGAGAAACGATTTATCAATAATCATGCATCATTAAATATGAACGCTTGTGCTAGTAATTATATGCATTATATCATTAATAGTATAAATTATGAGAACTGTTATTAGCACTCTAAAAATCTCAATCTACACTCCTCATATGTGTATTTTTCATTCTAACAATAAAAAGTTTGGAGTGCACAATGAGATTTTTGGAATGCCGATAACAATTCCCTAAATTATATGGTTATTGATTATCAATAGTATAAATATTTTCTTGTTAATATAAATAAATAATATTATTTGTTATATGCATTATCAGTTTTATTAATAATAGTACTCTCTTTAATCTTGTTTTTATTTAAAATTCACTATCCAATTAATAATATAACTAAATATAAAAATACCATAATGGGGAAAACCATTATCAATAGGAAATCCGTTATCCGATGAGTTCGGTTACTGAAAAATCTCATTTTGAAGATTCTACAATTTTAGATTCAAAGAAAATAAACAGATTCAGATATGGAGGTGGCACATCCAAACTCAATTCGCCGATTGCCATTCCTAAGTTCACCTCAATCCTCATTCCTCACTCAGTCGCTTAGCAGGTGACTTGGTGCCTTGTAGCATTTTCAAAAGGCAAGGAAATTTGTTGATGCAAATATGTATATTGATGGATCATATAGCATTTTGCCAATCTATTTGCTTAGTTAAAATATGTATCATTTCAATGAGAGTAATGCTAGAGAAACCACAATTTATAGATTATAATTAAATGCGTAATGTTAGGGTGATCAACTATTTAAATCAAATTTTGTAAACCATGTGATGTGGTTCTTGATGATTGAATTTATTACTTGAGTATTAACAAATATGCTTATTTTCTATTAGTGACACATCACATGGTTTGCAAATTTTCTCTAAAAAATTGGTCTATCTAGCATTACTCTAACTAAATTATCTGTTTAAGAAAGGTAGGGTTCGCAACACATGTAAGTCACATTTTTATTAGAGAGATATTTTAGATGTGGTCACTCCATAACACACTACTAGAAATTATCATTTGGCCAACAAACTAAATTTCGTGAGATTATAACTTTACTTGAGGAAAAAAAGAAATTGGTCATCAAATTTCATTTTTTTTTTTTTTTCAAAGACTTTAGGCAAATACTTTTGTAGAATATATATTGTTTTGACGGAATACGCAATCTACGAAACTCATTTTCACGATCTAACTGTCAAACTTCTTTGAATATAATACGAGATCGCATACCCGAAAAACCACAAAAACAAACTTTTAAAGATTAAGTAACGAGATAAAAGGTTAGACGGTTACAAACGTACCATCATGATTTAATAGCTATATCGCCTTTGATTTCAATTATTTTTTATCAGGCAATGGTACTAAATCTGTCAGGCAAACTTTCAAATCCTCTCCCCCCCCCAAAAAATTATTTTCCGAAAAAAAAAGTCTCCCCTAAAGATTTAATAGCTATATCGCCTTTGATTTCAATTATTTTTTATCAGGCAATGGTACTAAATCTGTCAGGCAAACTTTCAAATCCTCTCCCCCCACCCAAAATTTTTTTCCAAAAAATAAAAGTCTCCCCTAAATTAAAGGGTTTGCATGACAAAATATTGTAAAATTCATCGAGTAAAGTAGTTTCCCACCATTTTTTTGCCAAAAATTAAACTTAGCGGATATTTCGATGCAATCTTTGCCCAATGAATTGGTCATTTTTCCCAACAAAAAAAAACAAATTCATAGTACACGTGTCACTTTTTTTACGTTTGCCCGACGAATGAGTTTGTCAGGCAAGACCCTGATGCTTTATAATAGGGTTGAGAGTTGATTGGGTCAATAGTTGACTTTTGAATTAAGATAAGAGATTTTTTTTTATTTATTTATTTATTCTTTTTCATATACCAAAAGATAGAAACTTTATTAGAACTAAATACGAACGGTTACATTTACATCTTCTGTTAAAATATTAAAAAAAAACTCTGGATCTAACTCATCCTAGCCAAATCTCCCGTCATGCTTAACAACGCGGCCACCGAATAAGCTAGACGATTGCATTGTAGAGGGGTAAAACAAAACCTCACCAACTAGAACAAGCTCGCCATCATCCAAATATCTTGAAGATAAATATCAAGAGTCACATCAGCCGTGACCTCCTTGTTAAGCATTTGAATCAATCATTTTGAGTCCGATTCCACCACCAATCTAACATTGGGTTCCATAGCATCACTTCCAATAACCATCTCCATCCCTTGCCTAATCTCCTCCGCCATAATTGAAGCCCCAAACCTCACACCACCCACCCCTCTCGCAAGCTCAGGAATCCCCGCAAAGTCACGGAGCACCCATCCCACCCCATCCACCCTTGTATCTTTCCGCCAGGCAGCATCACAATTCAACTTCAACATGCCAAAGATAGGTTTCTCCCAATGAAACCCCTCCCTCCCAACCCCCTCCGCAGAAGGAACCCCCACCCCTGACTCCCTACACTTTTGATGTTCCCTCCTTCCACTACCGCAGCCTCCCTAAACTCTTCCACTTGCTGCCTCCATACCTCCACTGCAATATGTGGTAGGATTCGGGTCCCATTGAATACAGCTTCATTCCTACACTTCCAAATTCGCCAGAAGCCAAACACAAAGTCATTAGTTTTGATGGACCTTGGGTGCTTTTATACTTTGTTTTTAATCGTAGCAAATCCAATCTCTTCTCTTAAGATTTTGATAAATTTCATTTCTCTCACTTTTTACGATGTACTTCACGACCCTATATGTAGTGGTTGTGATTTAACTATATCACTACCACCACTTCTACCACCATATCCCCACTATTACCTTTTCACCATCTCCATCACCCCTGCTGCTATCACTTGCACCATTACCTTAAATTTGGTCAACGTAAGATTCGACGGTATACAAACCAAAAAATGAAAATAAATTATTTATACATGACTTATTGTTTGTTTAGTATCTTATAATTCTATTTTATTAGAAGTTTCTTGTTTGTGAATATTAAACTCATGATTGTATATCATGATGGCAAATCTTAGAATCATCATGAATGCAATAGATTATCACAATCAATACGCATTCCAAAAAACAAAGTTGCATTTAAAGATTCTAAATGTGCATTCATAAGATGTCCCTCATGCATATCACGTAATTTAAGCAAAGTGATTGGCAAGATTAGCAAAGCACTCGTCCTAAATGTTTGATTTCGGATGTAATTAGGGTGAAAACATTCATGATCACGATCACCTGCAAACAATCCGATGTGCTCACTTTTTTCAATTAAAAGCTCGCATTTGTTGAATGTGGTTCAATATACTAACGGATAAGATGTTGGGTTTTTACTAATGTGTTCTGAGTTCGAAACTCTCTCTCTCCACTTAAAAGCTCGCCTTCTCAGTTTGAAACTCTCCCTCGACTTAAAAGCTTGCCTTTTGTTTTTTTGTTTAATTCCTGTTTAAGATTAATTATTTGATTAGATACCTTTTCTTTTCAGGTTAACCTTTTTCATCTTATGATTAATTATGTTTGCTCATTTCGTTTATCTTGTAAGATAATAATAAGTGATCAGATGCATGCTGCTGTCTTCTGAGAAAATTTTTATTGTAATCGGAACACGAGTGATACACCACTCGTGTTTTTATATAAGTGATGTGAAATTGTATTTTTTAAGTTATTAACCTTTTAACATAAATATCTCATTATTTATATAATGATATGTCCGTGTTCCGATTGTTGAAAAATCACTCATTCTTCCGCCGGTCTAATGTTTTAGGAGGCCTTGTGTTTCTTCCTTCTTCCTTTCACGTGTGTTTGTCAACAAACCTGAGTGGTAAGGGTTGTCGGTCAAACTGGTTCCCACAAACAACCTCAATTATTATTATAACAATAATAATAAATTAATTAATAATTCACAAAAATCAGAAATTCAGAAAAGAAAGAGTAGTGTTTTTGTTTTTGAAAAGCAAGAAAGAGTAGTGTTTGGTTGAGCCTGCCGTTGTATATAAAAAGTCTCTTTTTCTCTGGAGACTAGAGCTTTAATTTGCTGAAGGTTCATGGAGCTTTGTTTGAGCTTAGGAGATCATGAGGCTCTTGCAGAGCCATCTGATCAGACCACCACCACCAAAACGACAGGGTTTTGCATGAACTTATCAATCGGTCCAAGCTGTGCAGCTGCTCCTTCTCCTCCTCCTCCTCCTAGAGATGAAGAAGCAGATAAAAAACAAGATGATGATGATGATCATCATCATATCCATGTAGATGATCATACACCACTTCAACTTGATCTTCTCCCTTGGCCTACTTCTTCTTGTAATCAGATTCAAAACGGTGAGTTCGAGTTTCATTTAATTCATTAATTACCATTTCAATTAATTAACTTTTTTGTTTTAGGGTTTAATCAATTACGTTTCTGGGTATTAATTAATGGCATAAATAGCTGGTGTGCTGTCCATGAACGTGATCAACAAAGCTCAGGAAGTGGTGGCTGCTGCGTCGTCATCGCATACAAACAGTGGTTCGTCGTCGTTTCATATCATGGATATCGGCTTATGCAGCAATAATAATCACAGTAAGGGCAGTGCTGGTGATGGTCTGAATAACAATTACCACAACGTCTACAACTACAAGAGGAGGGCTCACTCTGCAGAAGGACAAGGCGATGATGAGGGAGAAAGGGCATATAATTCCAGGGTGGGCAGTGATGATGATGAGGATGACATCATCAATGGTAACGCTAACACCTGTAGAAAGAAGCTCAGGCTCTCCAAGGAACAATCTGCTTTTCTTGAAGAAAGCTTCAAAGAACACCATACTCTCAACCCTGTAAGTGTAAATTTTTAATTATATAACGAAGGACACAAAAGGTACCAAAATGTTCTCTTATCAGACTATTTCTCTTTGTCTCGCATCATGAATGAGGACCACAATAACTAGGTATATTTTCGCCCGAAACATATAAATTACATATATATACATAGATGTAATTTATTTATGATATTAATTAATGATGCAGAAGCAAAAGCTAGCACTGGCGAAACAGCTTAATCTTCGTCCAAGACAAGTAGAAGTTTGGTTTCAGAATAGAAGAGCAAGGTATACATCTAATCTAGCTGTATCCTATATGCATCTGTCTGTGTATATGTACGTAGAAATCCAATTACCTAAATGGGAGTTCTTATTGACACTTCAAATTGATGATCCCTGCACTTCAACTTTATGAAAACGCAAACAAAATAAATTTATACAAGTGAAAGATAACCCTTTTAGAGTGGCGATAACTCTTAGCTAATTTAAGATTTTACCTTCTTTAATTTTGATCTTTTTGACAAAGTCAATTAGTATTCGAAAAATACTGTGACTTGAATAATGGATGATATTGATGTGAATTAATTAAGTGCAGGACAAAGTTGAAGCAAACGGAGGTGGACTGTGAGTTCCTGAAGAGATGTTGTGAGACACTGACGGAAGAGAACAGAAGGCTAAACAAAGAGCTACAGGAGTTGAGGGCTTTGAAGGCTACTCATCACTCAAACCCGTTCTACATGCAATCACCAGCCACCACCCTCACCCTGTGTCCTTCTTGCGAGCGCACAGCTACCACCTCTAACGCCGCCATCAACACCACCAACAATACTTATAACAATAATAATAATAAAGTTATGTCAATTAGTACTACAAAAGTTCAAGCAGCTAAGTTTCCTCTCAACAGACCCAGCTTCTATCCGTTTTTTCAACCCAAATCCCATCCCTCTTCCGCAGCTTCGTGAATTAAGACACTCCCAGATATTTATTTATTATACAGCTTCCTTCCAAATAGTTTACATTTATTAGGTGGGCGTGTACATGTATAAATTTATATAGAAAGAAAGAATAAGCATTACGATAGAAAACGGTTCACATATAGTGTTTTCTTTCTTTTTTTTTTTTTGGGGGGGGGTGGTGGTTGGGGAGGGATTGATTTGTTTCATTCAGTTTATGGTCTTACGGGATTTATACAACTGTGTTTCTTTTCTTTTCTTGTTTTTTAGCTTTTTCTCCTTCTTTTTCCCCTTTCTGAAGGCCCAACTGTTTATTTTGTTTTACATTTTTCTATTGATAGAGAAATAGAATCAAGAAGGAAATATGGTTAAAAATTTCAAGAAATTAAGGAAATATTTGTGTGTATTAATAAACAAGAAGGGGTGTGTTATCCACATATCTTATTTTACTCCTCTCACACCCCTTGATAATTTCTGTCCATTGATCTTCTTCGATTCATCCTATCCGACAGCCAAAAATTAAAAAGGTGTGAAAAGTAAAATGGGATGTGTGGATATCACACCCCAACAAGAATTGTTGGATGTTGATTTGGCATGCATGCTTTGAAAGGTTTTCTTTTGGGATTTGATGATTTCATTTCATGAATAGAAAATTTCTAGAGGCCGGTGTTGCATCAATTAGTATGATATATCATCGGCATGCATATTCCTAGTACTACTTGATGGAAATTGGAAAGTAGTAGTAGTTGGGAGATGAGAGATAGGGAGATGGGAGATGGGAGATGGGCGTTTTCCCAGCCTATAAAACAAAGCTGTCATTGTGGGGACAAGGGACAAGAGTCGGAAGACAATATATTGGGTTAGTGTTTGGATTAATATATCATCATATCAACATACTCTAATTCATCCTTGGCTTTTGAATGAAGCAAGTGTGAATCTGTGATTGGCTAGAAAGATTGGTTTATGTATGCATGCATGCGTTGGCTCTCCTTGTCCATGTCCATGTCCAATGGTATGCATGGTGGGGGAGGTCACATAACACATGCATGTGACATGCATGAAACAAGAAACAGATGCAAGACTGCGATAGGAGCATGCATAATCATGCATGTTTAAAGTATACAAGTATGAGACCGACCATGGACCCATCTCCGACGTCCTTATTGGCAAATAGCGAGGAATTAATTATAAGACAAAGTTAATCACGCAAAGCTTCTACGAAATTCACGTAAAACAAGACAAATACCTACTATACTACTTTTTGACATTTCAAAAGATACGGATAAGAACAATGTCCTACTATTTTATATGTGGTTGTAGGAAATCCTTAATCCTGGGTAAAGAGTCCTACACCTTTTCAAGCTTCAACCAATTGAGAGGTTGACTTCCTTTTGAATCAACTGCTAGTTTCTAGTCTTGTCTTCTAATGATTCCTCTCCCTTTTTTTGGGTGCACATTGTAAAATGAATTTAAATTTTCATATTTATATATATCCACTACATAAATTTTTAAATTTAAATTCATCTAACAGTGATAAATAGGGTGGTGATCAAACATATTCCTTTTTTTTCCTTCATTTACAACTCTCATTTTTCATAGAAGAAGTGATAACTAGTAACTAGACACCATCTTTTTCAGTCTACATATATTTCTTTATTTTGGTTATAAAATTGAATAAATTAAATGAAAACAATAGACAAAATTAAACAAGGATATGTAGGAAGAAAAAAATAACGTGTGACTATCATTTCCCTTTACTATCGAGTCTCGTTAGGAGATACTCGGTCATTCTCCTTTTAAAAGTAAGTTCAGAAAAAATAACTCAAATTTGGGCCCTCTATACTATAGAATACTAGCCAACATGTTTAAATTTAAAAAAAATTAACCAAAAGTTGATGTGCACATAGTACACAACCAGAAGAATGGCACTTCGATGTAAAAATATAACTTGATATAGGAACATGAGGAGCTATTGTGAATTGTGATAGTCAAAGTGTTATTCACTTGTCCTTTTCTAATTTATCATTCGAGGACAATATATATTGCTGTTTGGTTTCATTTATTGTCTCAAGAAAAGATTAGTGTTAGAAAAGTTTTGTGTTGATAATCAAGTTGATATGCTAACTAAAGAGATCAAACCTACCAAGTTTTAGCCTTTTTTGAACATAACTCAAATACTTTGCACTTGAATATAATATGTACAGGTAAATCTCACCAATGTGGAGATTATTGACAAAGCTCGATGTTAGTGAACAAAAAAATTGCCCTTTTGCATGAGGTTTGACTTTAATTCTCTCATTTTTGTTTTTCCTTGATCAACGACTTTAATTGTCTCTAGTTCAACCAATTGTTTTTGGTTTGCTCGTAGAAGACATGGCTTCCGAATAGATGGCTTACGAAAAGTTACATTTTGTGTGTAAATTTTGTAAGAAAACTGGGTTATTTCTCTTTCTATTCTTTATGACCTCGATCCGGATTGATAACAGAATAGCTTCGACACTAAAGGCAGTGTAATATTTTCACACCAACTTAGGGTTTAGAATTAGGAGAAAATTAAAAATGTTAGATATTACTCCATAGAGTGTCAAATTCTGGCTAATTTTCCAGAAAAATCCCTCCAAAAAATGGAACGTGGCCTAAAAAAAAAATGACAATTTCCCTTGCATGCATGTATAAAAGCTCGTCAATTCAAGAAAATATACGAAAAAAATAACCGGAGAAAGAATTACTATTTGGTGTAGAAAGAACTCACAACCCCCAACTTACAATAACACGCATGGAAAAGAAAAGAAAAAAGTTGCTCACTCAGTTCCCACAATTTTTCTAACTTCTAGCATCTACCACGCCCAGGTAACGTACTACCAGTGATGTTTACTGTTACAGCAAATTACAATTTGTACAGCGAACTTGCTTGAATACTGTAAACATTTTTTCGTCATTCCAGAAAGAACTGGAAATGAACTTAATCATTTGGTATGAAAGCCCACAGTGCTAAATGTTAATGAGGTACGATAGAGCAACCATGGGTCAGTTTCCGGAAGCTAGATCATTTCTGAACTGTTCTACCAAGGAGGAAGGAGAAGAGCAAGCCTAGACTTGTACCTTGCAATTCGCCGTAAGCGTTCCTCTCTTAATCTACAAGAATAAACACCAAATAGCTAGTCAACCTCTGCAGTATGTTTTATGTGCAGAAAGCGTAGTGCCAAAACCTTTTTGGAAAACAGAACAACCCAAGTTTAGTTTTCATGATTAATCTTTAACCATTGAGTGATAACACATGTTACAGAATATATAGTTTTATCAGTAAAGGATACAAGTTTTTCAGACCTTTTTTGTTACAACAGAGGGAATCAAACCCTTGACCTAGCCTAATCCTAATCCATTTTCCAGCCCTCACACACCACTTGAGCTAACCCTAAGGACATTGGGTTTTGACCTCTTAATGGTGAATGGGTAGCTTCTTTCTTGAATGGTTGATTAAGGCAGCATGCGTTATCTATGTAGAATCATACTCAGAAACTTTCAAATCAAATTGGGTGGGATATAGAATTAGAACTTGCAGGCAGATGCTAAAACCTACAATGTCTTTCTTGTATTTCTTTTATTTTGCATTTTCTTGGGCAATTTGATAATTCAAATTATACAGTCCCTTTTTCCTCCACCTTAGACTTGAAAGGGCAAACCTAGATGTGCCCATTGATTCAGTTTAGTGGCAACGGAAATTCATTTCTCCTTCGAGATGTTTTTCACAATCAACAACTTCAACAGAAAAAAATGGATGACATAAATCAACTGCAAATAGACCCTAACTTAATCTTGCAAATGGTAATTATAATTCACATACGATATCTCCATTAAACCCATTACTTCAATTAAGGTGGAAATTTAATGTTTATAAATCAGCTTTCAAGGCTTAAACCATTATCTGTAACAAGGAAAGTCAACTCATTGTGTGTAAGAACCAGATTGTGAAAAACTTACCGTGCTCGAACTTTTCTGGCACGTTTGACATGTCTTTCTAACAGATCATGTGGTGATAAACATTCAATGTGTTCCTCAGCCTGAAAACAAGAACAATGAAACTAATTAGATTTTTGGTAAGTGCTATACATCATTAGGTATGGGAATGAAAAGATTCGGAAAGGTAGGAATCTCAACTTTTAATTTTTGTACCCCTTTAACTTAATGCATTCAACCAATTCCACAGTAAAACCATCCCATGTTCAACGGGTAAACCAACTTGTTTAAACATAAAAACTACAAGTAGAAACATTTTTTTTCTGAAAACCCAAAATGAAAACCTAAAGACCGACTAGACGTTGGGGGCAAGTGAAGAACCTATGATCCTCCCATTTGACAGAATACACATGCATTCATACAAAGTGTGTTTTCTACATATACTAGTTTTCTTTCTCTAATTTCTCTTAAGTCAAAAATGTTATAGCATACAAGTATACAACTAATGCGTGCATGTTCTGTGTGCCCAAATATATGTTCTCTGTCATCTGTGAAACTTGAAACCTTCGTTGCATACAATTGGCTTTCCGTGGAGTACAGCAGGACTTGTATCGAAAACTAGACATTTGGTACTATCCAGAAAAAGGATGTTTGATGACTTGATTAAGAACAAACAATAAAGAATAGTTATTACTTCTGACTAGCAAGAACAAGAAGGCAACTGGACAGAAAATTTATGCGATTGCGCAACATAAAAGAGCAACTTGGCATATTATCTCAGACCCTTAAATCATTAACTTGTCCAAAAAATTGTACAAAATATATGCCTCTGGTAAAAATTTAGGTGGCATTTTCTCAATTTCTACAAAACAAGATTCAGAGAAATGACTCAAAGGTTGAAGACAACTTTACAAAGTTTTGGTAAAACCTCCTGCAGCATTAATCTAATAATGCATCAAGATAAATGCCTAAAAGAGCAATAAAATTCTCTAATATAAGTTTTGACTTTGAAATTCACTAAAGATCTTTGTCAGACCCTACTAAATAGTGTGCTTAGTTCTTGTATGATTCCAGGGAAGTAAGTGTAACATTGTCTATGTGGATATTGACACTGCCAAAGGCCCCAGTTAAACTATATTGATTACAGTTTTTTTTAATAACAAGTATCTTGATTACATGGACACTAATATGATCTATATACCCTAATGGAGGCTAATACAAATCATAAATTTTTGTAGCTGGAATCAAATAAACTCTTGAAGTCATATGTCTCAACTTTTTCGTTCCATTTATAGCAATTCAAAATAATGCCTGCCAAATATAATGGTTATTATAAAAACCTAACCTCGTCCTCGTTATCATCTCCTTTTTCTTCTTTTTCCTCTGCTTCACCTCCCTCCTTTTGAAGAGTAGCACTTGCCATAGGTATTGGTGAAGGTCTCGGAAGAGACCTTACAGCATCACCATATTGGGGCTGCCATCAGAATAAATTAGGGCAAAAGCATTATAAAGACAGTACTGCATCAAAAATCAAATTAGTATTTTCCCACATTAATGTGCAGTGTGAGCTGCTAAGAAAACAATGCATCAGTGCAGTATACAAGTATTCTATCACTGATGACTCCTGTAACCTGTTTGGCCAAAAAACCTAGAAAATTCAGGTAAGCATATGGGCTTTCATTTTCCTATCGTGTTTGGTCCAAAATAAATAAAAACAAATAATTGTGTAAACAAGTTGTGTCTAAATTTTCCCCCGGGGCACAATAGCTGGCAACCTTATAGTCCATAATCTTTTTCTACTGTAAGAGGACCATTTTCATGGTACTGATATGAGACTACTAATGTTGCAGTGGGTCGATTTATCCTAATGAATGTGTACGACATTAATTTTTCAAGTGAACTAGCTGGTACAGGTAATAACAAGATGTTATAGTCATATCATATCATATATCCACTGTTGCACATGACCAGATAATTCATTCAGGAGGCATTAGCAGAGAGTACTGGTACACATTCAAAACCATTATTTCAGGGAATGGGTGTCAGCACTCTGGAATTGTTAACAAATGTTACATGGAGTTGTACTTGTGGATTTAGGCTTTTCAAACAACTTGAGTACAAATTTAGGACTTGCAAAAAGATAGAGTACCAGATTCTAATAGGATAAAAGCAAGGTATCAAATACAACACAAAACAAATCTCAACCTATGATATGATGCCAACCTGAATTTCTTCAGTAAAACAGTTCCTCAACCATGACCGACCGTGCACATATAGAGAAGCTCCATCTGTCATCCTGACCTGCATAAATAATTCTAAATAATTAATGCCAAAAAAATGTATGCGAACTAAGGGCAAGTTATATTTTGCATTCTGGTTATCCTACACTTTTGATGAAAGATTGATTAATTCATCTCAGAAAAGATATAATCCAGGTTGTCTTTGTTTAAAAAAAAAAAAAAAAAAAAAATTCTCTACTGTTTCTACTGCCATTAGCATTACTTTGATATATAGTTAGTGGTAGAACTACTTACTGAAACTATATTGGACTAATACATGACATATAGATCATTTTTCACCATAAGTACTATATGTATTTGAAAATTTAACTATATGATTGATGGGGATGGGTTGGATCACATTGTGTCGGGTGTCCATGGGAGGAAGTAAATATCCAAAGATGGGTTGCAGTTTCTAACTAAATTGTGTGTCCTTCAACAGCATCCATGTAAGTCGACTGTGCACAACTAGAGCACATTATTACATATTTGCAAATGGAACCTTCATATGTCTAAAAGGTCATCCTTTGCCTCATAAAATATGTAGAGATGCGCACAGTGCACACACATGCATAGGCACACATGTTATGGGTATGTAGAATGGCTCTCTCAACCCTTAGATAAATCTTGAATAGATATGCCTGCACATTGTTGTGCTCATTCTACACTGCCATCCTATTTAGTAGATATGAATATCAAGAAATAATCCAGACATGCTATCATCAGAAAGGATGATTAAACAACTTCCCTGTCGTGAAGGAAAGGGAGGAAGGAATTTAACTGATGGAAAAGAAAGAAAGAACGTAAATCAGATTGATCCACTCTATCAATCATTCATATAAATTTGCAATCATTCATATAAATTTGAAGGAAAGAGGAACATCTAATGACATTTTACCATCAAAGCAAACAGGGCAAGAAAGAAAAATATCCATGGCATCACTAAATATTATACAGTTAACCATCAACTCATTCCAATCCTCCTATAAAGGGGGAAAATTGATCTGTACAACACCTAAATTACCTCTCATTACAAATAATTCATGTTATGTGTTTTATGAGTGATGTATGTGACAAACCAAGCACAGTTGCTGATTCACAACCACAAAGCCCTTTACCTAACAATTGAGAGTACGAACTGAAAGACATAGAAACAAGAAATCATAATAATAGAGGGCTGAATAAGAAAGTAAATGACTGGTACAGACTGTTTCTAACTTTCTACCATATTCATTTCCATCAAATGCCAAGCCACCATAAACTCGAAGAACAAGGCCTTCAACCAACCTACTAATAAATATCGAAAAGCATATATTCAATGTACAATGAGATAGGCATTTCTGCCTACTAAATATGTTCCTTTTTAGCCATCAGCTCTTCTTACCAGAATGGAGACCTAAAATAGAAGTGAAATTAAGTGCTGCAAATAGATGTTATTAACCATGCAACAGATCAAAATAAACTAGACAATGACCCCACACCAAGGGATCTTTGACATCGACAAGAGCAGATTAGTAGATTGAACAGAAAATCTTAATAACAAGATATTATAAGCATCAATACATGCAGAACCAGTCACAAAGCAAAGTGTTTTCTTACTTGTCGACCTCTAATGACAGCTAAGTTATCATCTTTGCTTTTATCCCTGCAGAAACACAACAAGAAACGAGTAACAACAGTCCAAAATTTGAAAAAAGAAAAGTCTTATTGCAAATAGAATTAAAATAAACAAATCTTGAGACATTATATCCAACATTACCTCATGTCTTTAAAACCATTGCTGTCAGGAACTGAAGATGGAGCAACCTAAACCAGAAAGAAGACATACCGAATAAATCTTCAAATCTTGCATTCAGACTCAACAGACAAAAATATTTTATGTAAACAAAATAACAATAAAACCACAGTAAAAATAATAACAAATGCAAAAATCTGTATTCAGGTTGGCATAGACTGTCCAATGGCCAAAAAGTTACAATGTTTCGATTGGCATAATATTCATGTCAAAATCCAAAATTAAATCCATTATCTAGTTTCCCCATTCTGGCTGGCCAGGTTACTCAAAAGTCACATTGCCTACCAAATACAAGAGATATTACTTAAATTAATTTCTTAAGTCATCGACAATACAGAACCTAGTGTTATTCAGACGAGAATGAAAAATAAGCAAGATGAATGCCTAAACTTGACCAATTCAAGATGTAGACCATTCTTTTACGACAAGACTTGTGTAAGGCTGCTCACTGGGGAGTTTTTTTTTATTTTATTTATTAACCATGGGCAAGGCAAGCATTTGCAAAAGCAAAACTAAAGTCTACATTACCACCATTAAATCTTTATTCTAATTACAAGTTGGAAACACCACCAATCCAAACGCAAGAATCCTTCAAAGTGCTCAAAATCAAAGCTTCTGATAAAGCATATTTTCCATTATGGACTGAAAGATACTTGGGTAGAAAAAGAAGAAATTTGTACCCATCTTTTTGCTTATTCTATATGTTATTTTCACCTCTTATTTCCCCTAACAAATTCAACCCAATACAAGTTTTCGAGATGTGCGCAGTTATGAATTCTACCCATACCTATATGAATCACAAATTACACCAAGAAAAAAAAAGGCTTCTTTAAGTTAAAGAATACTTCCAAACAACATAACTTTACTTTGGTGTTTGTGTTTGTGTGTAAAAGATGTAGAATCAAAAGAACACCAAAATCCAGACATTGGAAGATCAATTAAACCAAGATAAAACTAGAAACCTCAGGAGGAGCAGAGGAAACGGGAAGGCCCCTAATAAGAGGAGGAAGAGGAGACGGTGCTAAGCTGTAGTTGGGTCTTATCAAATGCACAGGAATAGGCTGCTGAGGAGGGAAATTGAGTAGGGGCCGAGATGGGTACACAGCACCGGCGTTGGCCACAATGAGTGCGGGTTCGCCTCCGGCAGCGGCGGCGGGACGAATGGGCCGAGGAATAAAGCCTCGGCCAGAGGAAGCCAGTGGGTACAGAACCCCCTGATGATTAGCAGCTGCTGGTGCTACTGGTGATGATGATGGCGACTGGGTCCGAATTTGGAGGGATGGGGCTGCGTAAAGATTAGACGGAAGAGGAGATGATACGGCAGGTCTTACCGGCCTCGTCGTGGTTGTGTTGTGTGCGGCGGCTCCGGCGGTGGCCATGTTGGCGGCGGCTGAAGCGGTGGTGTGGTTGGGATCTATGGTCATGGTGGTGTCTGCGGGCAGTGGCGGGGAAATTTGGGAATTTGGTGCGCTTTGGTTTTTAATTTTTGAACGTTTGCTTTATACACTCAACGTTTCTATATAAATAAAAAGAAAATTAATGGAAAAGGTTGGAAAACTTTGATTAATGGAAATAGTTTGAAAACTTTGAGTTTTAACGATAAGGACAAAAGAAATGGTAAAGTGAATAGTATCATTATTGACTTTTTAGTGTAAAAATATGATTTTTGGTTAAAATGAACAGTACGAAAAACTTTTCGTTAAAATTTCCTATAATAAACTCCTCAATTTCTCAAACATCCTTTTGTCGTTATCTTATTAAATACAATTTTACTTTTTTTTTTTTACGTTTTATTTTCTCTCTACTTTTAGTAGGGTTTTTTTGTTATTTTTTTTAAGTTTTTTCTATCAAAATAATTTTTGAGATTTGGATAATTCATTATTTTGATCTTTGACATTTAAAATTAATAGAAGTGATTCATGAGTTTGTTCATCATTAATCATTTTGATCATTTTATAAAAACTTATATTAAATAAGATTCAAAATGATAAAAATACTTTCAATTTAATAAACAATGGATTGAATGATTTGATCAAAATGACAAAAATATTTTCAATTTAATAAACAATAACCCACACAACCAAACCAAAGGGCCTGGGTTTGAAAGCCCAGTCCCAAACATAAACTCTACTTTGTTAGGAGGAGACCTTGAGAATTTGATGAATCCCGATTCACAACAACAGAAATAAAAAAGAAGATACAAAGTTTGAGTCGTCGTCGTCGTCGTCGTGGTCTTCGTCGTCGTCAGACTCCAACTTTGTCCATCTGCAACTCTCTCCGTCTCCGAGTGTGTGTTTGAGTGAAATCATGATCTTTGTTGATGGGGAACTCTCTACCACAGACCCTTCTGCATCGCCTCAGGTACTCGCTCTTTGCCTTACTCGAGACGATACTAAATGGAAATTTTCAAATTTGTAAAAAGTAGATAGTTTGAACTGCTTTTCTTTGTAGTTGCAACTTTGAGTAAAAACAAATTAAAAAGCTCATTTGATGCTGTAAATTTGTGATCGCATTAATCATGAAACAAATTTGAAAATTGAAAATTCTAGCTTGTTTGTTGTCACACCTTATTTCTGCAAGATGAGTATTACATGAAGTTTATGTTTATTAGATTTACATACATTATTTATACAAATAATAATAGGTTTCGATCCTGGACACACGCTTTTGACACACTTTGCTTTCGGGCCCATTCCTTATGTATTTCAGTCGTCTAACTTTTATGTCTTACCTTAAAGATCATGTCTACCAAAACTCATCCAAATCCAAAATCATATGACCATTGGGTTAAGTTAGTGTTTCTTTGTAGAACCATATTCATCCATTTTCTTCACTACAAATGAATATCTTAATGGTTTTGGAATTATCTTATCTTTGCAAGAATGATTTATGAATGATGTACTAAAATATACACGATTCGAATCAGTCGAAATGCATTACAAAGTGGGCCTTACAAAATATGTGCCAAAAAGCATGTGTCCCCGGATCGTAACCCATAATAATGAAGTATACCGAAACTTCAATCAACATTTCTAAGAAATATAATCTGGATTGTCTTCTGACGGATGACTTGCTTGCTCAAATTCCCCTACTACATTTATAATAGAAATTAAAGCTTGTACTCGTGAATAGGGACGGGATATTCTGGTTGCTCTATTGGAACACCCTGCTTTGGTAGAAGCCTCAGCTTCGTTCAAGGCTATCCCGGAGAGGAGATTCTCTGTACGTGAAGAGTCAGTTATGGAGGCAACGCCACCCGGTAAATGGGTTTATTTGTTCCAGAGAGAATATGCAACTGTTGATCCGGCATTTGTGGATGTATGTTCTTTCTCTGTTCCTTGACTTGAGGCAAACACTTGTCAATATACGGCATGATTTTTTTCTTTCATATATACAGCGGAGAGACATAATTATAACCTTTTCTTTGCTTAGTTCACTAATTGTAATATGATGCCAGTCCAAGAATCTTATGCGTGTCGAATGCCTTCATGTGAGGAAAGTGGCATTTGATAGTCCCGCATGTTGAGACCTGTCCTGCTGCTCTTTTCAGCTCTAATATGGGCATCCTTGTGGTGCAGTGTGTCACATAACATAGAGACTACATGGGTGAACTAAAATAAAAAGTACATGGGTTGATGGCTATGAGTATAGCCTTCCTTGTATCTTGTGCAAAATGGAAGTCACCTCATGGTTTATTCATGACCATCCTGATGGTTCTTAAAGTTATTTATAATATTTTCTGCCTTTAAAGAGAAGGATGTAAGTTAGTCTCCTTGTAAATGTTGATGGTTTTTCTGAAATGGTTGCTACCCATTAACTGATCACTTTCATGCCATTTGTAGTTGTAGTATCAATAGTACTATTAATTATTCCTTTGCTAAATTCATTTTTTTTCTGCTTGGTCTTCCTTGTTAAAAGTTTGTTGGAACTGATGAAGCAACGACCTGTATCGGTGTGGCCATTCGGAATCCGAGAAATGGAATGTAAGAAACGGATTTATTTGAGATGTTAACTATTTTAGATTTTTCCAGTTTTCAAAAATTAATTTCATGTTCGGTCCTAGTTTTTAATAAGAAATGCCATAGATGCCAAAACGAACGCCAAAAATTTTGGACTCCAACTGGAGTGGTAAATGTGACCGGTTCTAGATCTCTTTTTTTGTAACAAGTAAGACGTTGTCATGTCTTCTACCATGCCATTTGGTGATTGAAGTTAGGAAACTTATGGTGCTCTAGTACTGTTGTTTCTCATTCTCTTTTCAAACTGCAGGACCTCAGTTGCTCATATGGATTCTGCAAACATTGTGGATATGGGTCTGTCCCAGATGTTGTCACTCCTTGTTGACCATAACAAGGACATGGAGTTAGATGTACTTTTTCCTTAACTGAAATGATTAGTTACTTTAATGGTTATATGTTTTGTTGTTGACCTCATAGAATCCAGCATAAATAAAAGAATATTTCATGGTCACAAAATGCAGGTGCATCTAGTCGGTGGATTTGAAGATGTTTCAACTAATGTTTGCCCCAGGATCCTCTTCTTTGTCATTGATTTCCAGATGTGTAGTTATCTACTCAGAAACAGGATACTTTAAGCTGAAATATGTTGAACTTTGTGTGCAGCATGGTAACTACAACACTTAATCAGAAAGTCAGGAAAACATGGATGGTTATTCCTTTCCTTTACGGTGCCAAAATTGTTGAAACTTTATGGAAGAGACCAGAAAAATTCCATATACGTACTCTCTGCATTCTTGGGCATAACACTAGAAGGGATCCCGAGGGAAACACGTACCCAAACTTCAATGGGTTCATGGTTAGCCTCAACCCCATGAATTAAACATCAATTTGTTGTATGGCTTATGTTCATTTAAGTCGGTTCAAAATGAGATAAATTTTAGTTCTGAATTGCAATGTGAGCCCTTTTCTTTCATTATTAGAATATATAGCATCTGCAGCAAAATATTAAAATAAAATTAATAAGAAATTGTACATGATGCAGCATCATGTATTTTTTTCTACAATTCTATCTTTAGTGTGCTCACTGCTCACCTGTGAAGTTTACAATATCGTGTAATGTGTGTGAGTGAAAATTCTGTTAAATCCTTCACATTGTAGAAATTTTCGCACTCTTTCAGGTAGGAACTTCCAATGGATCTATTACCCCAGCTATCTTTGACAAAACCTCAAGATGTCCTGATGAAATTGTCAGGAGAATTCGAGTTTCTGTATCATACAAGGACCCCAGTTGGAAAGGAAGGTTACTGGAAACATATGATACTCAAACTGATCGATTCAAGATAGCTCCATGTTGCTGGTAAGAGTTACTACATTGATTATGCCTTCAACTTTTAATTACTCTACAAAATCTCGTGCTTAACTGTGCCTAACACCATCGACCTCACATATATATTTTCTGTTCATGCAGGACACTGCAGCAATTACACTTTGCTTTATCATTACAACATTATTCTGATTCAGAAATCCTCATCATGTGTTCTACTTCACCTTCTGCTGAGAGCCCAGATTTTGTGGCGAATATGAGAAGGTACGCATCAAAGGTAGATCTGTCTTACTGTTGTTGGTGATCACATACACACAGAATTTTTTTTTGAAAATAAATAAAGAAAAGAGGATGTTTCCGCATATAAAAGAAGAAAGAATAAAAGATTGACGAGGAACTCCACAACAAGTTGATCAAATTAGGTGCATTGAAGTTTTTCTTGTTTCTGGCTTGTGGCATCATAAGCTATAGTCAAGCCCCTTACAGATTTGCAATTCGTAGAAATAGTTTGATGTTCATCCTGTAGAGTAATGGTTAATTTTCAAATATTGCTTTAACTGAATTTGGTAATCTTGATTTAGGCATTGGGACTACCTAATCAAACACCCAGATTGGAGAGAAACCTTTCCTATGAAGCAGCCACGCATATTTGAGAGGACTGCCGAAGGAGGCTGGAGAAAGCTACAAGGTGCTGATACATTAATCAGTAGGAGTTTCTAGTTATTTTGCAACCTTCCCATGCCTCTAATTCATAAGTCCCCCATTTATTGGCAAACCAACTCAATCAATATAGATGACCATGCAGCAAATTGGAACTATCATGTTCTCAGCCTTTAAAAGAATGGTGTTAGTTGGTAACTCGTCGCAGTGTGTAGTTGTTTTTGTCGGCAATTGCTTGTTGTTAACTAAATACTTATGTGGCAATTAAGGATCCGTTTGATAATTATATCGTTTTTCATTTTTAATTTTCACTTTTTGAACTTGAGACACAAGGAAATGTAAGGAAAAGTAAGACGGGTGGTGGAAGGAAGGGGAAGAAATTAAGTGAATGAAAACAAAATATTGGAAGTGAAAACAACATAAAATAGTTACCATTTGATAACAACTTGTTTAGTTTCAAAATTATCACATGTTTGCTTGGCCCCTCTTTTAACATTGAAAGAACCCAACAGTGGGTGCAAAACAGTCACGATCTTATGTGAGACGATTGCTCTCCAACTCCCAACTCCACACTCGCAGCGATCACTGAAATCCGCATCAAATTTTAGGGTTCTTGATGTGATTGCTACTCTAAGCTACACTCAAAGTAGGGGAAGATTTTAGCTAGAGACACAAAAGATTAAAGAGGACAACCCTATCAATTAGGGTAAGGTAATTCATCACTTGCAAACCCTATCAATTAATAAACAATTTGTTTATCAAAAGGGAATAATAACAGCTTATTGTTGCCTTGTACATAACTTTATTAGAAGGGGAAATGTCTGTCGAGCCACTATTCTAAAAATTTTTGCCTACCGCCGTCTATATCCCACCTAATCCATTGAGGACTAGGCGTATATCAACGACAGGGAACAAGGCAGTGACAGAAACATCCTTTTTGTATAAAAACCACTTCCTTTAAGCATTAATGAAGAAATATGTATACTTTATGTATTAAACATAAAAAAATGCATGCACACATACATATATAATCTGCTATATATAAAGCCGGAAGGCAGTTTTGGTGTCACCGGCTTCGACAAAAGAAGGGGACCAAACTGCCCCTCAGCAAAAAAAATTCAAAAGCAGCCCAATACATTATATCAAATAATGAAAGGGTAATTTGGTCATCATAAAATATAATATTATAATATAAATAATAAGTGAGGAGAGAGAAAAGAATAAAAGAATAGAAAGATAAGTGAAAGTTGATGGTGTCCACGAGAAGAGAAGAGGAAAGAAAAATATAATAAAAATAAGGAAAATCATAAATGTTGTGTTTAAAACATCTTAAGAGGCGTCGGTGATAAATTAGTACAATTTTTTGTTTTATTTTAATTAGTAGCTTATCATAAGCTAGCAATAATGTGATTCAATCAGATGTTCATGAAATATTATTGTCTCTATTTTTAAATACGTTCAAAATATCTTAAGAGACATGTAATGCCGGTTATAAAAAAAATATTTTCCACATGGATACTAATATGATTCGCTGGTTATAAAAAAGATTTTTCCCATGCAGATAATAATGTGATTATATTAGTTGTTAAATAATTATTTTTTTTTTTAACAAACAATATTTGATCTAAGATTATTCATATTATTCATTTACTTCAAATATTTGACTTTCCTTTTATCAATTTACGCATATATATATATATACATTTAAAACGTGTAGATTCCGTGTAAAATAGATCCCCATTTATTCCCCCACCATTTAGTAGACGAGTTGTATCAGATCAAAGTTGTACCGAGAAAAATGGGGTCCCCTTTGAAAGCCCTAAAAAGCCACTTACTTGGACTTGTCGTGCTTTCAAGAGCCAGCCGACTTCCAAATCCAACTCCGACGCTCTATCAATACTTTTTTAGATGTGTAGTCAAACTCAAATTTAAGAGGATTTTAAAAGATTTTAAAATTTTATTGTAGTTAATTAAAAGATTTTAAAGAATTTTAAAATCCATCCACATCTAAATGTATTATAAAAATTAAGATTTTAAAGCATTTCAATAAATTGTGGATTTTAAAGGGTTTGAAGACAATAAGTATATATAACTAAGATTAAAAAGAATCTAACCTCACCATTTCAAATCCTTTTCCATATGCCCCTGCTATTGTCCACCGATGTGCTTCTTTCGATTCCCCTCCCAACAATCTGATCACCGGCACCGTGATCAGACGAATTCACCACCATCTTGCACCTTTCTTGAGCATCCTGACGAACCCAAATCTTGAGTTCTCCTTCTACACCTCCATCCAGAAGCCCATGTTTGAATATGTTGCTCAACCCATTCAATTTGCCGCTGCTGTACCCTCTGCCTTAGAACCACTCTCTTGCAGCTGTTTGTTCGCACTGCCACGGCACCTATGCACCACACACCTTCAGTTTGATTTGATTTTGTATTGTCAGTCCAGAAAGAAGAAGAAAAACAAGAAAAAGAAAAAAAAATTGAAAATCCACCATAATCCATCAAAATCTACCAACATCCATTCAAATTTTTTAAAATTCATATGAATTTTGTAGGAGTCTTAAATCCTATCAAATCTATCACTTTTAAAATCTTTTAAAATCTTATAGTGGTGTATTCAATTGAAAATTTGAGAAACTTTAATGGATTTATAAATCCATGAATTTTTATAGAGTTTAATTGATTTGTAAAGATTTTATATAAAATTTTGATTTAATTCTCTCGAAATCTCAGGAAGAGATGTGACATTTGTGGATGCTTAAAATACACAATAAAATCTCTCCAATTCTGTCTAATTCCTCAACTTTCTCAAATTCTTTAAAATCAATTTCTAATTGAATACACCTGGAATGTTATAAACTTCTTTAAAATCTTAATTGAATACACCCGGATTTCTAAGAATTTTAATAAACTATTTTAAAATTCTAATTGAATACATTTTGAATTTTAAAGAATCACTTAAAATCTTGATTAAATACTTCTAAATTCATTAAAAGAATTAAAATCCTTCGAAATCCCGATTGAATACATCTCCCTTAATTTGACTACACATTTTACATACATGCATCTCCCTTAAAATCCGAACAAAAACACTTGTCTTTCTTTCCCTCTTTGGTCTCTGAAATTCTGAATCCTTGTCATTTGGTCTGTTTGTTATGGCTCTTGTGAGTCGGACTCAATCTCTCTCTGCCTTCTCTTCTTCCTCCACCCATTTCAGGAAACCCCATTCAGCCTCCTCCTTCAACCCCATTTCTTCTTTACGCTTCAACTCCTCTTCTTCCAATTCCTCCTCCTCCTCACCTTTTACCGAGAAGACTTCTGTCCAGAGGTACCAGCGAGACCGCTGGCTTTACCAGAACCAGCCATTGGAATTTCACCAACCCTTACCCACCCCCTGCTGCTCTCTCCCGCCCGATTTTAATTCTCTGAGGGAAAACGACATCGCTTTGCAGCTACCCGAGCTCAGGAAGCTGCTTCAGGTGCTCAGAGAAAAGAGGCTCACAGAAGGTGACCGAGGCAGTTGTGGGCCCGGCAATGTCTTCCTGGTCGGTACAGGGCCTAGGGACCCTGAGCTTCTCACAATGAAGGCTTACAGAGTAATTCAGACTGCTGACTTGTTGCTGTATGATAGGTTGGTGTCCAATGATGTCTTGGAATTGGTTGCCTCTGGTGCTAGACTTCTATATGTGGGTAAGACTGCTGGGTACCATAGCAGAACCCAGGTAATCAAGCACTTATCTTTCTTAATTCCCATTTCCTGCATTACCTGAAACCAGTTTTCAACTTGTTTGGAGTTTCAATTGGTTGGGTATATTTGTAGATGCTATAAATTTGAAAACTTCGGGCAATTTGGTGAATTGGGTATTTGCGTTTGTGCTAGTTCGCATCTGGGTTTGCGAAATTCAAAGTTTTAGTGAAGTGAATTAGGACAACTGTGATTGATCTTTTGTTTGATGCTACATAAAGTTTAGCCATTGCAGTTTGGGTTTCAGGAAATGAACTGAATTTTTTAATCCCCTCTTTCAGGAAGAGATACATGAATTGTTACTCAGTTTTGCCGAAGCTGGAGCTAATGTTGTGAGACTAAAAGGAGGGGATCCGCTGGTGAGTTTTTGTGTTGGTCTTTCAGAAATTTGCGTCTGTTTTTACCTGTGATATCACGTTCCGTCATGTTAAATTTTGTGGTTAAACATATCGTTTTTCTTTAGGTGTTTGGAAGGGGTGGAGAGGAGATGGATTTTCTGCGACAACAAGGAATTGAAGTTAACGTTATTCCAGGTATGATCATAAATCAAGGTCATAATGCCGTTATTTAGTTGAGATTTTTGTAAGAGTGGTGGAATGTCTTATCGACATAAGATGTCTCCATTGTTTCCCATTGCTTTTTGATGAAAGAATGTTCAACATCGCCATCTTGACACATTAATAAAGTTTCAGTAATCTAATTTCAGAGAATTTAGGATGGTCCGCATTCACAAAGATCTGCTAATGTTGAGCATTATAAGCTTTGCTATTCCAGTAGAAATGTTCTATTTCATCAGTTGGTTCCTTAAAATCATGACACGTCATTGGCATTTAAAATTTTTACTCATTGAAAATCATAGGTAACAAGTCTTCCATATGTGAAGGGGTGACTGAGAAATGATATCAGTACACTTTGCTTCTTAATTCCTGAAAAACGTTTTGAACACAGACGCCATAAAGTGTAAAGTATTGGTGGGAGCACTTGTGAGATGAAATGAATGGATGAGGAAAATAATATTCCTAGTTAACACATTGAAATATTGGGGGAATCTTAGGTGAGACGTCAACCATATGAATATGGTATTAGATAGTACGAGTTTAGGAACAACTTTGTTCCTATCTAGGTTGAGGCCTAACGAGCTCCCAGCTTGTGTCTGTTGGGAAAAAAAATTCCTCTTCCCTTATCCAAATTGTGCATCCTTCGATTTCTTTGACATGATTATTCTCTTAAAGGGTTAAGCTTTATATATGGTTTCAGACAGCTTCATGAAGGTCACCTAATGAGGACGTGCTTATATTTGATCAAAATCTTTTACCTTTCAGGTATTACTGCTGCTTCAGGGATAGCAGCAAATCTAGGGATTCCATTAACTCATCGAGGTGTTGCAAATAGTGTCAGATTTCTCACCGGCCACTCCAGGAAGGGCGGAACAGATCCTCTATTTGTGGCTGAGAATGCAGCTGACCATGATTCGACCTTGGTGGTTTACATGGGTTTGTCGACTCTCCCTTCTCTTGCTCAAAAGTTGGTGCATCATGGTCTACTACCAAATACACCGGCTGTTGCAGTTGAGCGAGGGACCACACCTCAACAACGCATGGTAAGGATGGTCTCCTGTTGCGTATTGGTATAGCCTCATGTTGGACCCCGGATGGTGTCTTTTCTTTACCTGATTACCTGACATTTGTGCCATTTTAGGACCTTTCTTATTAGTTAGTAAACTGACAACATGGGAAAACACTTGTTTGTCTTAGATACGAGGTTGTGATGCCCATTAGGAATGTATATAAGCATGCATTACCCGTTATTGAAAAAGTAAATTGAAATAGGTTAACAATCCTTCTATTTCGAACTTCAATTACACCCTGAGGTATACATCAAGATCCTTCGAGGGCGGTCAGTGTTACTTTTAGAAATCTGACCGGTCCCTACTATTCACCCTCAATTTATGGTCATCAACCTGATTGCGGATTTGATACAGTTCCTTTGGATGCCTTTACAGATAGGAATTCAGATTGTATGAGTTTGGCCATTTGCATTATTTATGTATTGTAATGGAAAAATGATCATTGTTGCATGTGCATTCATACAGGTTTTTGCAGAACTGAAGGATCTTGCGGATGAAATTGTATCAGCAGAGTTAGTATCACCAACGTTGATCATCATTGGGAAAGTAGTGGCACTTTCACCGTTGTGGCCATAGTGCTTCAAAGGAAGTCTCCTCTGTTGTAGAAGCACTATAGGCGCATCTGAGGCGTGAACATAAAGTATTTTCCCATCCAATTAAACTTCAGAACTTAGGCTCACAGCTCATGAATTTCTGTAATTACAGCCTTCAGTTCATCGACCAGGATGATCTTCAATTCTTCGTTGAGGTAATTATCTGCTGCTATAGATGGATCATTTTTATTTTGGGGTGGGGCGCACATCTTGTTTCGAGATTTTTCAAAATTGAGCTAATGGATTATGGGAGTGCTGGGATTGTGCTCGAATATTGTCTGATGTTTCTGATGTTTCATTCTTCTACCAATCAAAATGCTTCTGGGGAAAGAATGAATTGCATGCACTGAACAGGGGAGCTGTGTTCTTGTTCACCGGGAAGGTAGAGGATAAAGCATTTTATTGCTAGATTGTCAGAAACCGGAATCATGGCATCAGGCGGAAATTGTTTTTTGTAGCATGAGAGGGTGATTGAAAGTTTATGAATTTTTGAGTGATTTGTGATTTTGTTGTGACATTTTGAGTACTGTGGTTTAGATGAAGAGGCTGTTATAGTTGCCTACTACACAGAACCGAACCACATGATCCATTCCGTTATGAGTCTTTTGACCTAGCAGCGAGTGACTCATAGGTTCATGTAGTGAGTGAAACTGTGAAAGTCTGGCTACTGTAATGTAATGCGAGTTAGAATGAGAGCTCTAACACAAACAGAGCAGCATGTGTTGATGGTTTCCTATTCCTACCCAATCCATCCCAACCCAACCCATTACCATTTTAAGAGATAAGAGTTTCTATAATTGACCATCCGTGCGTGGCCCACCGGAATACAGGTACGTGAGTATAGCTTTTTATGGTTCATTTACTAATTCATAATTAAAAACAAAACAAGGAGAACTGAATTGAGAATGAATCAAAATTGGATTCTTGTTAATGTAGTTTACGTAACTATTTGGAATCAAAGTAGAAATGATAATGATTTCATATAAGTTATATAATAATTCACTTGCATCGGAATTGAAACAAGCTTGATTACCAGACTCCCCTTGTTTAACAAAATGTTTTCATGCTAGTTTAATGAAATTTAATTTTCTATCATATTAATAAAATTGATCGGTGTAAGATTTTCTTTGAATAAAAAGAAAAAGAAAAATAACCCTCTCAGTTTTCAAGTTTCAACATCTTTTCCCTCTTGAAAACTTTTCTCTCTCGTAAAAACCAAAGGCCAAAAAACCGGAACCTTCTCACAGCCGCCGGGCTTAGCCTTTGGCTTTAGGGTCGGTGTCTTCTGTTCTCTTCTTCCCTATTTCTTTATCCATGGTTTGTTTTGAACTTCATCTCAGCTCTCTGAGCTTTTGTCTCAGTTTTCTCCCTTCACATCGCAACCCAATCTTTTCCAACCCATAATCATGAATTACATCTCCGAGTGTTGGACTCCATCTTGACACAAGAAGACCCACAATCGTAGGCCACTGCCCATCCGGCTCGCCGGAAAATTTGATTCTGCTCAACACTCTCAACTCTATCTATTTTCTGGTTCGTGTTCTCTTTTTAGTTTGGGGCGATATTTTCCTTGGCAGAGAATGCGGCGGCAGTGGACGCTGGTTTTTGTTGCTTCAGGGGAATATGTCATAATTTAAATGTCAAATGTTAATTTAATAGTTGATGTGGTAATGTTAAATTTTTTTTTTCCAACTAATATATATATATTTTTTATAAATGATATTTATATGACTTATTTTAAAAAGAAATTAATTAAAATACATTTTTCAAAATTTATAATTAATGCATTAATAGGATCTACGTAATAAAATAATTAAAAAAATTGACATGATCTTTTCTCGTATATCAATCAACATAGAATTGACATATTAGTTAGAACTTATTCCTACTTTCAAATTTGATTACATGGAATTTCACATCTCTTTGGAGATGGTTTTAGTTTAAGGTTCATTTTGCGTTTGTCTTTTATTGTTGCCTACGGGCTTAAATTTGTTGGGCCTCCTTTTAAGTCCAGTCGTGGGCCGTACCGTGGGGGGTTGAAGAATCCGAGTCCAACAATCCAAGTGAATAATTGAAGACCAAGTCCAAATCCAAGGGCAATACGTACAAGAGAAGAATCAGATTTCAGAAGATCGCGTGAACAAGGACACTTTGGTCAATTTCCATTTATCCATTCCTCCTCTACCTATTTTTCAGTTGCGTGCTCGAGACCGACTCCCTCCTTATATAAACACGTAATAGTATATAATTTAGGATGTTTTAACGAAAAATTTACTGTACTATTTATTTTAACGAAAAATTATATTTTTACACTAAAAAGTCAATCATGTTACTATTCATTTTACCCTTTATTTTGTCCTTATGATTAAAACTTAAAGTTTTCAAACATTTTTCATTTGTTTTCCTTATAATTTACCCAATCCACCAACACCATGTTTTAGTTTTAGTTTAACTACCCTTTTTGCCTATTTGAACACCCTCATTTAATCTTATATATATATATATTTTATAAGAATTAAATCGTGTGACAATTCACTTTTTTTATTTTATTATTTATTGTTTTATTTTTTAATTTTATGTTATTTATTTTTATTAAAATATGTGTGGGTTTTTATTTTGTTTATTTTTTTTTCAAAATTACAATGAAAGAAAGACAATTTAGATAATATGAAAAGCTTTACTTTTTGTGCTTTTTTTTTTTTTCTCTATGAGTATATATGGATTAGGTAGCCTTTAATTTAACTAATTGACTATTTACACCTACACTCCAAGATAAAATTACAAAAAAGTATAAAGAAGGGTGCGGTGGTGCTAATATTTGAAAGCACAAAATGGAGGGATGAGAATGAAATATTGAAATCAAATTAAACCAAACCAAAATATGAACGATATAAAAAGCACGGAAGCAGCAGGCTCCAATCCACAATCCAACCCCATAAACGTCACCATGAAAGGTGGCGCTGCCACTGGCGGCAGTCCTAGTTTCAACAACAACATTACTACTACTAGTGACCAAACGACGACGTCTACGTCCTCCTGGGGCACGTGGGAGGAGCTCCTGCTAGCATGCGCCGTCAAGCGCTACGGCGTCCACGACTGGGACACCGTCGCCCTGGAACTCCAAGCCAAGACCTCTCTCCCTCCCCTCCTCACCACCGCCTCCAACTGCAAGCTCAAGTACCTCGACCTCCGCCGTCGTTTCCGCTCCCGCCACCAAAACGACGACGTCCCTCCAGACGCCGACGACAATCACCACGATCCTCATAACAATAATACTAACAATATTCCCTGGCTCGACGACCTCCGCAAACTCCGCGTCGCCCAGCTCCGTCAAGAGCTCCATCGCTACGACGTCTCCATCGTGTAATTCTTTTTATTTTTCATTTTTTTTATATTTAAATTTTACGTAAATTTTTAGATCTGAGTCGGAGCGACTTGTTTTGATTGAATTGGATTAATTTTGGCAGGTCGTTGCAGTTGAAGGTGAAGAGGTTGGAGGAGGAGAGAGAAGAGAGCTTCAAAGACGACGACCCCAAACCAGATCTGGAGGACCAGCAGCAGCAGGACTCCAATCGACACAGATCAGAAAACGACAAAACAGTTCAAGGCGAACCGGACGGGTCGAAACCGGACCACGAGAACCAGTCGGTGAACGGCTCCAATTCGACCTGCTCCAAAAACCTGGACCACGACAACAAGTCCGGTCCAGAAGATCGGGCTCTATCTGAACCGGGCCTGGTCCCGGCCGGTTCCGCTGAACCTTCCAAAAGGACGGGGAGTGGGCAGTCGGATTCGGACTCGGACAAAGGAAGCTCGGAAACGGTGGCTAAGAACCGGAAGGAACCGGGCCGGCAAGGGAAAGGTGGGGGCGACTCGGCGGATAAGATGAGGGAGAGCAGCGAGGCGCAGAGTTCGGTTAGCTTAACTAAAAAATGGAACGGCAAACGACGCCGTATAATGGAGGTCCCAGAGGAGCAGCAGCAGCACAATTACGGAGATGTATCGTTGGTGAAATCACAGCCGTTGGTTGAGGTGTTGCAGTTGATATGTGCGCAAGAGTATGGCTCGTTGTTCGAGCGACGGCTTCCGGCCCAGGTATTTTTTTTCTTATTTCTTTATTTGTGTGTATTTACATTTTACCGAGTTTTACCAATCCACCTAGGCTAGTAAAAAATAAACTTAAATCGGACGCACGTAGGATGAGTTTGAACGAATCAGGTTAACGTGTCATGTAATTTCATAACGAAAAACGGAACGGATTCCTTTCATCAAATTCAAGTTCTTGAAATTTGATCAAACTACTGAAGTTATTATAACTTTTAAAAGAGTTCTTGTTTTTAATCGTTGGATCAAATTTCAAAATTCTAAATTTGTTGATTGGATAGATTTTATGAAAAAGATCCGGAAAGAATCCCTTTCCCGAAAACATCTTCTCTGCCAGATCTACCAAACATGTATACACCAAAACGAAAGCAAGATAGTATCGCCAAAAAACAAAACAAAAAACAAATTTGTTTTAATCAAAATCTAATTGAATTTTGTGATAAAATTTAGTGCGTATAATTTCGAGATAACAAGGGTGTTATGGTTTACTATGGGACAACAAGTGGTCATGTTGTTATAAAAAATTGGGGACCACTCCAACAAAAATGGTTTTTATTGTTGGTTTGAGGGAAGTAAGTTGAAAAATACGCATGCGGCTGGAAATATTCTAGCCCTACGGCCCGGTGTCTAGGTTTTTGAAGGAAACTCTCTAAAATGCTATTGGCTACATGCATTTTTGTTAAGATATTTACATACTTTTATGTTTTATTTTAAAAATCTCCGCCTAAAGCCGTCTAGGTTCCGCGTAGGCGTTAGACAGCTGGTCATCGTTTCGATTAATGCGTAGGCGTTTGAAAATTAAGAAATGACATCTAGACCTTGCTGAGGTGCTTGCCTAGATCATCTTTGTACTTGCCTAGCCCATCCAAATCCGCTTAGGCACCACCCTAGGCTGCGACTCACTTAAATGAAAAATAGATAACTTTAATTTTGTATTTTATTTTTTTTTTAATAAATTGTAAGAGTATTGTTGCATACTAAATAAACACATATTATATCCTTGTTCCCTATGTTTCATGATGGTCCAATACTTCATAATACATGTCCTTCTATTTTGTAGTATATAATAAAATTATATATATTTTAAATATAAGCAGACACTTATTTACACGAAATATAATAATTTTTTTTAAATGCGCATAGGCGGCTAGGCCCCAGTTTGCCGTTGACTAGCGCCTAACATCTATAAGAATCTTGATTTTATGAATTAAAACCTAGTATAAACAATATTTTCATAAAATATTTAGATTTGAATTTATGCCCAACTCCCACATCCCGGGTAATATTATAATTTTCTAAAATTAAAAAGAAATTATAATTTGGGTGTTAGTTATGTCACATATGGTGTGTTGTTTGTATTTCCTAAACAACGCTAGAGTCATCTAGATAAAAAAAAATTTATACAACTAAAGCGAGTGAGAGAATAATTGATTATTAACTTCTTTCACTTACTAATGAAAAAAGTTCTAATCAAAAGCCGTTTGCACTTCAAATTGTATTTTCTTCAAAATTTAAATCAGAATATTTTTCAAATAGTAGAAAAACATTGTACCACCGATGTAAATGTCTTTGGATTTTTCTTTCTTTCTTCTTTTGTTTTTTTTTTATAGTACAAACAATATTATTATTTTAATCTATACTAAGAAGAGAGAGGTTTGAACCGAAAATGGGATCCTAATTACTGTGGCAATTCTCTACTTTTGAGAAAGAGGAAGAGATCTTTTCCGGATCTCTTCCTTCAAAACCTGCCGATCAAGTGATCCGGATCTTTGAAATTTAATCCAACGGCTCTTAAAGTCCAGGTCCTTGAAAGTTATAATAATTTTAATTTTTTATCGTTATAAAATTTCAAAAATCAGGATCATTTGATTTGCGGGCTTTGAAGAAAGAGATCGGAAGAGGATCTTTTTCCCTACTTATGTTAATAGCGTAAGATGTGTGAGGGGTAAGTCGTGGAGCATTGCGCTGAATGTGTAAACCTATAAATAAAACGTGTCATACAAATGCGGTGAATTTGCCCCCATCATGGACCCCATTAGGCATTAGGCATGGCTTGGCTACCTCCTCTTTTCATCACACATCATTTTTTTCCCTAAAATCTTTTGGGTTGATACTTTTTTTTTAAAGATCCAGATTCTTTTGTTGCTATATGCCTTTTTTAAACACTCCTTTCTTTGGTTTTTAGCGAAAATATGGTTTACAAAAAAGCAATAGAGAGAAGTACCTTCATTTATGTTGATTTAATTAAATTTTATTTATTTATTTTTTGCAATATGGGCCCACTTGGTGGATTGTGAGATTTTTTCTTTTGGGCCTGAGGTGGACTGTGAACTCTTGAAATTCCCCTGTGACTAGTGGAGCCCTTATTTTTGTTAGTTGAGACATGCGTGAACATTTAGAACACATTTTTATAATGGGCAAATCAAAGCCCACTTGTGCTTTGAATTGGCAATTGTCAACTCTGGAAGTTTTTAGTTACTAGTTTTCACACCAGGCGGATACTCACGGGATCCTGGAATCTTCCAATCACATTTGTTCATTGTATATCGTTCGGTCAAAAATCATTGTAAATTGTTTTATTTAAAATTAAATATAAACAGTACCTGACAAAAATTGACTGTACGATATATGATGAACGGATGTGGTTGGAAGATCCTCGGGATCCTCACAAAGAGGATCCTGCAAGGATCCTCTCTCGTTTTCACACACACTAAAATGGACGTATAAAATACAGTCACTGATGAGTGATGACTAGTAAACTTTTGGGGTGCGGATGAAAATTTTAAAGCGAACGGAAGCATATGAATACATGATGCTGTGTGATCAATGTGCAGGAAAGCGATAAGTACAAGAGCATTGTCCAGCAGCATGTAGACCTGGAAACTATACAAACAAAGCTCCGCAAGGACGCCTACTCATCCTGCTCTCTCTCCTTCTACCGAGACCTGCTCCTCCTCTTCAACAATGCCGTCGTCTTCTTCCCCAAATCCTCCCTCGAGTCAAGGACTGCTCACCAACTCCGCCGCCTCGTCTTGAATGAAATGAAGAAGAAGAATCTCATCACTCGGCCCAACCACGACGCTTCATCTGAGCCATCAGACTCCGTAGTTCCTGCACCCGCCACAAGTCAGCAACCCAAACGCCCTGAGCAGCTTGAAAGATCAGATTCCTTGCTTGCCAAGCAAAAGTCTACTGCACCCATCATTGTCTGCCGCAAAAGGAGCTCCATTTCGTCAAAACCTTCCGCGGCTGCTTCTAGCTTTGGTCAGACTCTGAAAGGAGATGAGAAGAAGAAAGCAGCAGCTTTTGATCTTAAACCGTCCATTAAAGCCACCAAGGCCTCTTCTGATGATCATGCAGCAGCTGAAAAGCATGGCAGTTCAGTAGTAGTAAAGAGTGCTGCTGCTGCTAAAGCCAAAGACAACCCCGTGATCACTGGAACCAGAAGCTCGAGAAGGACGAGTATGAGTACTGCTCATCACGAGAATAATAATGGCAGTGCTTCCAAGAAGAAACAAAGTGCGAGCCTGGCAAGTTTGAAAGCCGAAACTCCCAAACCGGATAAGAAGGGGAAAACGGAGGCAGCAGGGTCGGACAAAAAGCGAAGTGCAGCAGCTGATTTTTTGAAGAGAATAAAGCGCAATTCACCTGCGGACACACTGAAGAGTGGTGGCACTGGCACTGGCACTAGTTCTAGATCAGGTGGAGAGCAAAAGAGGAGGGGAAGTGGTGCTAAGGTTGACAAAGTTAAAGAAAGGGTGTTAAGGCAAAGTGGCGATAAGAAGAAACAAGCCAAGGAAGAAAGCAGCAGTCCATCCAAGCGAAGTGTAGGAAGGCCGCCCAAGAAGGCAGGCAGCTGAGGCTGCAATTGTAGCAGCTTCACCAAAGCGGCCACGGGAGAGCGGAGGACAGCAAGAGGCTTCTAAGCGGCCTAAAAAACGGTCTAGAAGGTAAATTAATCGTCTAGCTTTATGCATGGCCATGGACATGAAGAAGGTATAACTTTATTTATGTATTCTAGTGAGGGATAGGGGAAAGTAGAAAGTAGAGCATTAGGCAGATAGTACTCCCTGATCACTAATCCCTAGGGATTTTGTTTCAGGTCGATATATTTCAAGTGTATGCTTGAACGATTTATGGTTTTAGTAGTACAATCGCTGTTTTGTGTCAAAATATCCATTACAAGCGTATGTAATATAATGTACAGAAGTACTTGTGTAGAATTAACCCCAGAAATAATCGTGTACGGTGTCAAATTAGAAAGACTCTGTTCTTGATCAGTGATAGTTTTCTTGTTTCTGTTAAGCCCCTTTCCTATGTGGTAACCCCTGCTTCCGTCAGAGAAGTTTGTGATTCATTCTGCTATTTGTATCCTTTTCTCTCCCTTTGAGAGCGGAGGATGACTAAATAAGGGATGCTCCTAGAACTGAACTGTGAAAATGAATCGAAACAGATTTCTGTTGTCCTTATGTTCCCTTACCCATGTCCTGTTATCATCCAAGTCAAAAATTCTGTTGACCAAAAACAGAAATACAAGGTTGCTTAGAGCCCAATACTTCGTATTTGCATGTATATGTATGCGTATGTATAATAAAGACAGTCAATTACCATGTACGGATTCAGATACAAGGAAATCCATTTTATGTTTTCTAAAGACAAGTTGTTCCCTAAAATAGCTTAAGGTGCACATGCAGCATACTTGTGCATGCACGTTATTGAATTTATTTATTTACTAAATTAAATAACATCACCGACGTTGCTTAGTGCATCTCCATCCGTTTTAGAAGGACAAGGGTAAGGACAAGGACAAGAAAATAATAATTGTCCTTGGGCAAGTCTACTTGTTGGGGAAGAGGGACAGCAAGGGCTACGGCAATTACTTTTACATGTATATTTTTTATTTTTTTTTCTTTATGTTTTCTTGGGAGGTAGCAAATAAATATCGAAGATTGGAGTAAAACTAAATACTAAGTTGTGGTATGGAGAATGAAGAATATGTTTGGTATTTACTGGTTTTTCTTTTTTTCTTTTTTGAGAATTTTTAACTTTAAAATAATCCTACCCGTTGATTTTTAAAATTATTATCATTGGATGGCCCAAATCTGGCCACATGAAAGTTGCTGAAAAAATTGCAATTTTTTTAACCGTTGAAAATCCAATGGTCTAGTTGGAAATCCAACGGCTGTGAGAGCATAGAATAAAGTGGCAGCTGCTTTGGACTGTGCACGTGGATGGGCCACACAGTGGCAATTACTGTAGCAATAGGGCGCAAGGCCAAGCAAAGGAAGCAAGCTCAGCTGAAAGGGCAACTTTTTTGGGTTGGAGGCAATTCAACCTAATTGCAATGGCAAAAAAGGGTCCGGCGAGATGCTCTTATGGCTCACTCGCTCCCAATTCTGACACGATCACTGCATAAAAACGGAACTGGATCCCCTCCAGAATTAAGGGATCTAAGCAAATTAATCAATGCATTTGAGATATTGAAATTTAATGCAAAGCCTACAAATAGGAGGCTTTTTCTGAATGTTATAATAATTGTAGCCGTTTGATCAAATTTCAATGATCCGGTCCGTACGCATTGATTAGTGGGGTTAGATCTTTTTGGATCTGTAGAGGATCCAATTCCTATAAAAACGTTATGGAGAGAGGCTAAAAACGTTATGGAGCAAGTTGGATGTTATAGGTGGAAACTCTGCGGAACGGGCCCTCTACTTTCAAGTATATAAATAGTGCTGGAGTAGATTTGACAATGTTTTTTATTTAAAAAGAAAAACCTCCTCTTTAAATATGTAGGGAATACACAAAAGTGATTTTTGTGGGTGTCGATTGTGATGTACACACTTAAGGAGGTTGTATAACTCTAAACTCGAATTTATGTTTTTATGTGAATATTACCAATAGTGAGATGAAAGCCTTGGACTTGCTTTTCACTGTCTCAATTGATGTTTATTTATAGAACCCACCGAAATATTTTAGTGGTGGGAACAGGTTTTAAATCATCGCCCAAGTAGATCCAAAGAGGGTAGATGATATTTGAGAGCTTGGGCAAATGGCATAAGTTTGCTACTTATCCTGCACTTTGCATTCAGTTCACTCCCTTCGAGAAATAACCTGCACCAACAAGAGCAACATGAATGATATAAGTTTGCTATCTGTTTCCGCTTCCTCAAGTTTTGCAATAAATTAAATTTGTAGCATTTTCACACTGTCTCAGTGGAACTGTGGAAGGTCCTTAACTGAGGAGGTTATGACGTTGAGAAGCTATGGTGATACACACACACACACACATATACATGCGCGCACACATAAGTTTTGAGATAGATTTCTACGTTTACCCATCCCCTGCTATCATCCAAGCCATAAACTTTGGCATAAAAAGTTGAAGAAATGCACGAAATAGAGGAATTGCAGGGTGTGTTATCTGCCGAGTCAGTAGATGCTGCAACCACAAGAACAAAATGAAATGAGTTACATTTAAATTACTTTATATTTCGTTAAATGAAAATTAGGAAAACCTTTCAGGAGGTTGAAGCAGGTAATTAGTTGGGGAAAACTTACAGCCAAAGGACCGGTTCTAAACTTTATGTAAGGTTGGTAACTTTCAAGCATTCTTGATGCCATTTGGGAGGCTGCGTACACTATGCCAACACGCCACATTCTTTTCTTTACGTATCTGATCTTCATCAGCGTCATCATGAGTGCAAAACTTAGAAGTTAGATTCAAGATCTTTCAATTTGGACAAAATTTTGTAAATTTGGAAGATTTCAACAATATTCAAGCCTAAAACTAGGAGTGTGAGATTGCTCTGCTAGAGACAGGGTTTTCCTACGGCTACGATTTACCTTCTTAGTGCCAAGACAATTTCATCCGATATTTGAACATCTGACTCAGTTTTGGAAGCTTGATCAAGCTCATGTATAAGTTGGTAACAGTCCTGCACACAAATCACCCGATTTGTTTCCATTTTTCTGACATGCAGCCTGCTAAGGATTAAATTTAATTTACATAAACAATAACGTACCTCAATTGCCATGCAACCCCCTTGACCTAGATTCGGCTGCATGGGATGAGCAGCATCACCTAGCAGAGTAACATGGCCGATTCCCCAGGTGTAAATCATGTCTCTATCATAGATAGCTCGCCGTAAAATTGTGGACTCCGCTGTTTCCTGAATTATTGTAACCACTTCAGGACACCAATTACCAAATATCTCCAGGAGCATCTTCCTTCTACCTGCAGCATCTAAAGGTGATTGCCCAACAACAAAATAACAATCAAGTGACGAGCAAGCAACCAAGCTAAAGCACTTTAATCGGAGGAAACGAAGACAAACTTTTGCTTTCAAAAAACATAGGATTAAGTTGGATCACCCAATTCCCTTTCACAGCCCACTTTATCGGTGCATAAGTAAATGCTCTTAACTACTTGAGCTACAAACTCTTAGTAGTTGCCTTTAAAGGTTGGGAAATTTTTTATTTTGTATTGGCAAATTTGAATGGATCGCGAGTCCGCACCACAATGATTCCTTTGTCTTGAGAACAACTTTTTGTGAACCTGATTAAGTTCACGAATCGGCTATTGCAATCAATGAACCTCAGCATGCTCACTTCAAGTAATGCACTTGTAGAATATGAGTATCATTTTATTTATGTGTTTGTTTACTAACCAGTAACAACCAAAGGAATGAAAAACGAGACAAAGTCTCATTGAGTTTGGGTAGGGCACATCGGAAAAATAAAGGTATGATCCAAAACCAAGGTGAGATTTTTCATAGCATATTCATTCCTTCTGATTTGTACCAAGTAAACATGCCCCAATTTTGCATCTGATGCACTTCTTACACGAGTTTAGATACTTTTTATCTTAAGAGGACAACATGAGAGATTTGAGAAACATTGAAACCTCTTCCAATACCGAAAAGAGAAACGGCACTACGCCAAGAGAATTTTTTATTTTATTCGAAGCATAAATCAAAAATAGTATTTGCACTGTGTTTTCCCTTTTTGAAGTTAACAGGATCTCCGTATCTTCTCGAGTTATCAGTACAAACTCGGGAGGGACTCCTCGAGTTGAACCGGAACCGAGAGAGAGAGAGAGTATAAGATCTCACATGTATGCAACAGCTAAAGGGCAGTAAAAATAATTTACACAAGACAGCACACTAACACTAGAAACAATGTTACAAGAGGCATCAGCTCTTTCCTAGGTTAACAATGCCTGCCCACCATTTATAACGAAATTATTGCCCGACTGCAGTAACTCTTAACACCTATCGTGGAAAGACCCAAGCCCCAGAGTTTTAACACGTTGGGGTGACAAAGTTATATAATAAAAAGCTATAACATTGTACAAAAAGGCGGCCTTCACTTCAACCCATATCTGTTTCACTTCCGCACCCTCATTTCCTATCTTACTGTTCCAGCCTTTCATGCGCTTTTGACTGCTTCGGATTTTAAAACCAGCCATCTATCCTTCTCAATTCCATTGGTTGCCCGTGTAACAAGTGTGTTGGCGACCATCAGCTGTTTAAAGGCAAAGGTCCTACAGGAGGCATCAAGTGAGGAAATAAAACTAAAATAAGTTCACATATATACAGAAGACGCCGTGTGAAATAATTTATTAACCGAAAAATAATTGAGCTACAAACAGATGATACACACCAAAGTATTTGTTCCCATCCATACATTTCAGATATGTCTACTCTATTTCCAGAATATATATTAAGTGCCAGATTATTCATAAACAAACTCTTGAAGAAAAATGAAGTCCTCACTTCTGTGTTTGAAGCAAATTTCTATAAAATGACGTGGAATTCATAGGAGGCTCATATGAAACTGCATAAGCAGACTTGGTGGACACTAATAAATTACAAGCTTATATGCAACAAGGCAAGCTATGAAAAACAAAACAAGATAAGCAATAATTTACCGCTTTCACCATCAGAAATATCAGCAAGCTTTGCAATTGCATCAATGAGTGCTTGTTCATGATCCTGCTCAAAGCCAATAGATCAGTTTTGGAAATAAGAACGAAAAACTTGTGATGAAACTTGAAAATGGATCAAAAGAAAAAAAAAATATTTCTAAGATTATCCTTCTTACTTTCAACACTTTCTTTGCTTTCTCAATTTCAACAGAGTCTGGGTGGTTTTCACCAAAGACCCTTTCTACCTGTTCAAATTTAACTAAACTTTAGTATGCATTGGGCCAATAAAAATAAATATATTGACTACACATGGACTAAAAATCTTTTACCGACCTCCTTAATTAAAGTATCTGTGTGAAGTAACTGGATATTGTCTGGAGCCTTCTTTCCAATGCCATTTTGTGATGGCGGAAAATCTTTTCTTGTTTGACCCTTTGGGGTCCCTCTACCTCTTCCAGGAACTGGAACATTGTCACGGCCTACAGATCTATTCATCCCATGACCAGATCCACTATAACCCCCACGATGAGAGATTCCAGGATCTTCACCTACCCATTGAATATCCTCTGGAGATATCTGCACAAGGAATTAAGCCAAAATAAGAAAATATGTAAAACATCTGAAATTTATATATCATCAATGAGTGAGAAAAATCCACTCGGTCATCATTCAGAAACAGGACATGAAAACCAAATGAATTTCTGTTTCCTTCATGTAACCCTGTTCATTCTCTCCCATTAAGTGTGAAACAAATATAGTGTTAGTATTGTAACCACAAAATATAGAGTTAGCATTCAGTCGATTAAGTTGTCAAGCTTTTTCTTTTTTTACTTTTTCATAGTTATTATGGGCGTTGAAATATTCTAAGCATACCTGATAAGGATTTCAATGTGATAGCTAGAGTGAGATGGATATCCTATGAGCATTTGCTTAGTTGCACCTGCTTCTAATTTCATAATCTCTTTTAATGTTGGGATGTTAATACTATGTGGAGCTTGTTAGGTTAAGTGATCATTTGGGACTGAATCTGGAAGGGCCAGAATGACTTCCGGGGAGAAGCACCTCCCTCCCAGAATCACTCCCAAATGGGCCCTAATTATGATTTCTTAACCATTAAGCTGTTCCTGTAATATTACAAGGCTTTACTTATTTGAGTTTGGACTAACTATAATATATAGACCCTTGAAACCCATAGTTTGTCCTCTCTGTCTCTCCTATCAGTTCACATCAATGTCCCTTGTCAGATACCTTTTATACTTTACAGTTTGTACACCAAAAAATTAACAAACTTTTTGAATCAAGTAATGGTGGCAACGGAATGAACAGAAGCTACTTAGTAGGAGCAAAAGGCATGGGAGCATGTTGCATTAATTATGTAGCATAAATCAGCTAACAGCACCCACTTGAACAAATAGGACAATTCAGAAAACATTGGTTAACAAAGAGTTCATTATAGAAATTTTTTTGGAAGTTGTGTCAGAATGTTTGAGGTACATACACAGAGAACATTAAGCACTATAATATTATTACATTTTAAAAAAAACAAATTCAAGAAGAAACAAACTTCAAGTGGTCACTTATATTCAAAAGTTTACAATGCATAATTTGCAGAACACAATGTAATGAAAACGATATGCTGGCAATATAACTTCCTTGCAAAGCATACCTCTGATAAATTAACCCACTCCCATGTTTCATTTACTGAATTAATATCGTAGACTAGATGATGCCGTCCCTAAAATTCAGAAATGAAAAAACGAACAAATGTCAGGTACATGACTTTACGTTACTTCAAACTCCTTGAACACTTGTAAGAGCAAAAGATACCTCTGCTTGATTGTAGTCTTTTATAATGGCTTCATAAAAGGTGTTGTCGTCAGGCCACCTAGTCCTTACTTTCCTCCCAATCAAGGAATCATTTGTCTTTCCTTCAGCAGGTTCATTTACAACATCACCAATCGAAACTCTATTCGAAACTTGACCCCTTCCTGTTGGACCCGAGGAAGGGTACTGCTTCATTGAAGAAGCACCGGGCAAAACTTGACCCTGTTAGCAGAATGTGACCGAAGGAAAACAAATAAATAAGTGAATAAATAACCTGCATACTTGTTTTTTGTTTTACTCCACATTCAACTCACGGGTTTATGTTTCTTGCCCTTAGCTCCTGAGGCTGGGGCTGGGACAGATCCTCGTTTTACAGTAGACGAAGATGGCTGGTGGGATGTGGTAACTGCCTGTGGATGAAATGGTGGTGTTGGCCCAGCAAAGGACTGCGTATGTACTGACTGGGTCATCTTCTGTTTCTTGCGTGATACAGAGACAGTAGGACTAGGTATTGGATCATGCACTGCTTGAACAGTACTCAACATGCCCGATTGAACCCCACCAGCCTGTCTCCAGTCCCTGTGGGCATTGCCCAACACAGTACCCATTAAAAGACAAGAAGAAAAAGAATCTAATGAATAGGTCCCATTTCTCAATTAAACGAAAAGCTTGTATCTTGATACTTCAATATATCATACCTTATCCTCTCTATGACATCATCTGCAGCATTAACCCGTCCTAGAAGTTCTTTGTGCTCCTCATTCGATAACCTCAACTCCTTTCTAAGGTTTGTTAACAGACCTTCCTTTTCCTGAGAAAATAGATATATGTAGCACTCATTTAAACCTGATCAAACAAATTAAAATTAGATCCATGAAAAAAATAGATCACAAAAGTACCCAAGTAATGGCATCAGCTTGAGCTTTAAAGGCTCTTAGAACTGAACTGTATGCTTCTCGTTCAAGCTGGTGAATTTGTGCTTCCATGTCACTTTCACCATACATCCTAGGATATGGGACAGAACCCCCACCAGATCTTCCATTCCCTGTAACGCGACCCCCTCGGGGAACTCTATGTTGGCGTGATGGAGGAAAATCGTCATCGGTTCCTGCAATTGTTTTTTTGGGTTCAGAATGGATGCAACAAAAATCAATAATGAGAACGAAATGAGACACGCAGTATGGCCAGAATTCACAGAAATATGGAACACTAAATTAAAAAGAGAATATCTTGCGGGTTGTCGATGCATTGTCTATGCATAACAAGCAAGGAGGTAT